GCTTCGCGCCCGGCACTGAGCCGCACCGAGTCCTCAGCCGCACCACGCGAAGCCCGCTGCCTGGGGCTTCTCAGCTGCTGCGCCCAGCGCGCCCACAACGCGCATCGCTGGCGGGACCTCTTGGCCCTGGCCTTTCCTCCAGACTCTGGAGGGCAAAGCCCAGCGTTGCCAACGCCCTAAGGCCTGTGTGCATAGCAGTCGTCCGGGGCTCGGTGTGCCTTCCCGCCGCCCGCATCCCCACCCCGCACTCAGCACCCTGCACCGCCTTGGTCCAGCTCTCACCCAAACACCCAGAGCGAAATCCTCTTAGATGCCTTTTTAAAAATTAGGCACCTTCAAAAGCATCAGTGGCGTCTCTTCTTTTAGATTCTTTCTTTCCTTTTCCAAATTCTTTCCAACTCTTAATCTTGAATAGCGTGATCACTTTCATAATTAAGAAGAGGACCAGAAAAAAAAAAACAGTTAAAAAAAAAACTGGTATGGAGCTAGAAAGCTTTTGAATGTAAAGGTTTAAGGGCCGTGGTTCCAGAATCTCCAGTTTGGGAAACGTCAGGTTTTGGCAAGGATTGAAGAAATGCTTCCCGCCTAGGTTTATGTGTCTGCTCCTCTGAACCTCGGGGCTCCTGGAGCGCTTTGGCACCGCGCTGATTTATTAAAACGTCGGCTCTAAGCTCTAACGACCTGGGTAGACGCGCCGGGTTTCCCAGTTGCGCCTGCAGCAAGGGCGAGACGCACAGGCACGGACGCGGGGCGCCACCTATGGGTGCTGGTGCCTCCCTGCCGCAGGCTGCGGACAAGCGGACTCAGGCAGAACCTTGGGGGAGTCCTAGGGACAAGGATGGGGTTTGCGGATAGTCTCCGTTCTCCCCTAAACGCAGTGCTTGCCTCTGCAAAAACACAAGAAGAATATGTAGAATTCTTTCCAGTATCCTTCAATATCTTTGCCTGCGACCAAAAAAGATAAAAAGTGAGGGGGGCAGCATTTTCATTTTTCATGTCTTTACCACTGACAGACTCTGCCAAGATGATAGTCGCTGCAGTAAGATTGTCTTCGGTTCTACACAAGGTTTGCACGGACTACTGGCTGATAGTCCATACCACCCTTAAACAAAGGTAGTACAGTCTTTAAATGGCACTTTTAACCTGATTTTTTTAAAAATATTAGTCTTTGGCTTGCATAATAATGTCTTTTCTGATAGGCTGATCAGAGATGAACCCCAAGTCTACCAACGCAGTTCATTAGAACTGAACGAATGCATTTCTTATTCTTCCAGATTTTACACAGAACCTTCTTTCCTTTGAAGATTTAGGCAGTATTTGGTTCCACTCTAAGAAATGCGTCTCTTCAGGTAAGCCTTCCGAAGGCCTTTTCTGTTGGCTTTCTCAGGCTGCTCTCTGTCTTAGAACAGAACTAGCTGTAAGGCCTGTGCTGTGATGAAGCAGTCCACATCTAACCCGTCCAGCCGGAATGGAAGGCTAGGGCAGAGGGAACTCACAGCGCATGGTCAGGTGAGGCAAGCCATTTCCTGGGGGCCGAAGGATATTATAAGAGCCTATGAGTTAAATATATTCTATTGACATAATTTCCAAAACTGTACAGACTACAAAAGACTCCATAATCTGTCATCCCCCTAACTTTTTTCCCTTAAATTCCGGCTTCCCTTAAACCTTTTTTTTATTTTTTTGTTTTTTTCCCTTGGGTTTTTTGGGAGTTTTTTTTCCTAGGATACTACTGGTTGCTAAGTTTTACTCTCGTTTCTGAGAGTTTAACACAATGGAAATATCACCTTACTATTCCAGTAGTACATTATTTCAGATACTTCAACATTTCATCAGTTGATACTCTCTTATTGTCAAAATAAACACAACTCTATCAGACCATCACTAATTAAGACTAATTTGGGTGCAAGACTAATTAAGAAAGGGTACTAGATCCATGAAAGAAATGTGAGGCATAGACTGATTGTTAGAGCATTTGGGGATGCTAATTAAGTATAGGTATGACTTTCATACCTCTGAAAAAAAATTAAGTAACAACAAATAACTTTCTTAAATGCCACACTATAGCATTTCTTTTAACTAATGAAAATGCAAACACACATGAACTGAATTTTATTATCAGCTTTGTAGTTATTTTTTTTCTATGTGGCAATGAAAATACTTAAATAATGTATTAAAAGAAACCTTTAACCTACATAATGAACTAGGTTATATAATGAATACAATAAGCATTGTTATATAATGGAAAAAAATAGGTTAGGTTTGAATTTAAGTTTCAGATTATATTTATAAGGAAGTTAGTAGTGGTGAAAGGCAGCAGAATGACAGATAAATGTTTATTGATTCATTGATTTATTAGTTATTCCACTTATAATAGTGGGTCAATTGATAGAATTTTAGCTTGTAAATGTTTAGAAAAAAATTGAAATATAACTAAGATATAAGTCAAAACTTTTTTCAGTTTTCTCAGCAACTGATTTTTATCCTCGTTTCATGTTACCATTAATTTTTGCTTTCAGTGCTAGAACATTAGTAGTAGACTCCACTCTTTAAATTCATGGACAACTATTACTATAGACAGTAATCACAGTGTCAACCACATATTAAACACCTGTCATGTGTCAGTTACTTCAGCATGCCCTTTTTATAGGCTACAAAATACAGCTTCACACCCACCCTGTGGGAGAGACAGATGGTCATACATAGCTGCAGTGAAAGTGTTCTGATGTTAAAAATAAAGTGTGGGAGAAGAGGCTGGGATAATTCTAGTTCTCTTCCTTTCAATTGTCCAAAATATTTATCTCTCGTAGATTTTAAATTTGTCTTATTTGGATAGAACCCATTACTGAAATGCATTTAGCGTGCATTTTAGTTTTCTCTTAATTCTTTAAATTACTATATCATATTTATGATCTTGTTCTAGATGTGTCTTAAAAATGATTAGCATCAATTTCACACTCTGGGACGTTAAAGCCGTAAACGTAATTTGACAAACATTAGCATTAATAAAAAATAATTTTCTGAAATTTTTAGTAAATATATAGTCTAGAGGGTTATTAAGATATGGAAAATATATAATAAAATATAGGGCACACTCTGGTGATTCATGATAAATTGTTTAAATATGCACATTGATATTTCTCAGTGAAATAAAAATATTACTGAAGTGCCCGCTAACTTAAAAATGTATCACATCAATGAAAAGTATAAAAACTCAAAGCTAGTGTGTGATTTTGTGTAATGTAATAGGAACATAAATAAAATTCTTTAAAAATTGTCATCAGTTCTCAATCAGCCACTGAATAATAGAAAGAGCAAGAAAAGTTTGTGTTTATGAGCAATTGGTTTGTGTTTATTGACTGAAATTTCAAGTAATCATAACATCTTGGCCAAATTAGCATAATAATTGTTGATTCTGTTAAAAATTTAGGCT